TTATTTTAAAGAATAATTTTTAAACATTTATTAAATCTTACTGTTATTTTTTACAGCAAAGATATATCAACTCAAGTGTTACTATGTTGTATGCGTACATGATGATACAAGCAATAGGGGGGCTATTATTAATAAATTTTGGAAGTAGTACGGAAAATTTGCCGGGAATCAGAAATTAGGGGCAAATTTGCCCCGAATACTGATTAAGGGATAGAAAAAAGAATCATCGGAATCGGAATCTTCAAGATCGTTAGAAGAGGATATTCCATGTAGTTTATGCGATGAAACTTTCACTAACCATTACTGCTTTATTATGCATTATGAGGAAAATCATGCACGCAAGTGGCTTTAATGTTTCTAAAAATTTATGAATTACGTATAATGTTTTATAATTGGTATATACAATTTATATTAGCATAAGTATTATTGATGTAAAATTTTCAAATCCTTTTAAATCTATAGACATATACAATATTTACAATGTCTCTATTTCGTTAAAAGTGTAAACACTTGAATCATATTTGATCTTTTAATTGCATTTAATAACTTGTGCTAGTTATTTGAATAAAAAAGCATTATCAAAAAAATAATTTTCAAAACGTAACTGTCAACTTTTAACAATATTGAAGTAATGTATATTATATCGTTCTTTTTAAATGCTGCTAATAACAATAAATGGAAATGAAGTTACAATCATTACGGCAAATTTATGAAATACTACGTACTAATGTGCAACCAGTATCCCCAGGTTAGGGTGCATCATTATATATAAATTTCTAAGCCTAATATGTGCATCAAAGATGGTTTGTTAGTACGGAAGATGGGTTTAACGCTTTATAAGATCCAAAAAATATTTTCAGGGTTTAGTATTAACAGTTAATATAAGTAGAGGAGGTATTCTGACGAAGTTAAATTTGCTTATAATAAAATATTTCTATTACAATTTTTATTTCAAAATAACAATTTTAATTCTAATGTAAAAAAAAAAATCAAGTTAACTTGTGTTTGCACAATTTTTATTAGTGCGAAGTAGCTTCAGCGGTCAGGAGGGCCAATAACCTTTTTATTTTAATTCTCCGAGTGTATAGAATTAAAAAGAAAAACTACCGAATTTGATCATAAAAATTTTCTTAAAAAAGGATCGACGCAAATAAGGCCGTGATCTGATTGGTTATGTTTAGGTAGATATTCAAAAATCGCATTATAAAGATGCAAAGTTGGAATGGAGGTTTTGGATGCGCTGTTCCTTTTTTTATAAGGTCTACAGACTACGGATTTGGAAAATAAGGTATGTGAATTAAAATCTTGTAGAAATTGTTTCTTAAAAGAGTAAGCACCTGGACATCCAGATATATTTGAATTGTTGTATAATTAAGTTTTTTTTTTTTTTTTTAATATCAGATTTATCATTTCTCAAATCCGTTGTCAGTTTTCATCTGATCCTTGGAATTGTGAACTGTTATCTTTGTGATCAAATCGATCAAAAGAAATACAATATCTGGTTTAAAAAACAATATTCCAGATGCTTTAAAATCAGTTAGTATAACAACAATAAGAAAATATGCTAATAGATCTTGGAAATTTTTAGAAGCATATAAACAAGGACTATCAAACCCTATAATATATCCGTCAACCCATACTGCTTTGAAAACGGTGCAAAGCCTCCTTTAGCAAGATACTTTATATTTGTGAATTTTCTAAAAGGTATCCATTCAATAATATCTTTAAACCTCAGTGCGTTATAAATGGGAAACAAGCAGCATATATTGATAAAAAATATAAATCACATTCATAATATGAATAGTGTGGATGTCGATTATTTATAGAAGGAATCACAAAAAAAAAATTAAAAAACTTTCATATATAAATCCACCTGTTTATTTTTGTAACGAATTTAATGAAATTATTAATGTTTTATCAATGTTAATGTTTAGAATCAATTCAAATATATTTCCAATTATGTAAAAAGTTTTAATAAAGATAAGAGCAAGGCCTCATCTTTGAACATTAAAAATAAAAAAAATTAATTCAAATATATCGGCTTAAGTGCTGTAGTATTGAAATTTAGAAATTTATCGCACAGTATATTATTTCTTTAATATAACTTTAGAGTAATTTGGCTTTGTTATTGAATAAAGTGTGATATTATAGTATCTAACTCAAAATGCCCACCAAAAAATTTGCAAAAGACCCAGGTATATTATGCTATAGTGGGTTGTGTCGCAAGGAAGAGATCTTGCATGGGGGTACTCAAAAAGGGGGGTCTTTTGGTCAGTGCTCTACGACCGTTAGTCACGTTTTTAGATCATCAAAAGTTAATCACATGAATGTTTCTTCATGAGCTCCTTTTTATGCTCACGAAAGATATACGCGAGTTTTCTCTTCTAATCTGTACCGAACATTTTAAAAGTAGTCATGGAGGTTGACGAAGAGTTGTCATTGTCTGAACAAATTTTCAGCATTTGTAATTCGCTTGGGAAATATGAACAAGTTATAGGAAATGACAATAATGTCACTCAAAAGTATCATATAGGAGAAGAATGCTTAGGTATATCTCGCGTTTTAAACTTTTAAACTATATATATTGACCCTTTTTAGTTTGAAACACGTATAAACGCGTTAATTCACATTAAAATTTAAGTTCACGCATAAGCTTTATTAATATAAACTTTGACTTTTTTTCGCAAAAGGTTGTCTCAAAGATATGAAAGAAATCCTTCGATATGAGGATCACACAGCTCTTGAAGTGTATTGCGAACTTTGGAAGTTAAAAATTTTAGAAAAGGATCTAATTCCAATAATCATGTTAAATAAGGATCCATATGACAGTACACAAAGCCGTTTAACACTGGCTTGTAGTAAGTTTAATACTGTGAATTTTGATATAAGTTTATTATCTCTATGAGTTCGAATACATTTTTGGTCTATAGTGAAAAAGATGTTTGTATTGGATCAATCTTCATACCCCAACATTAAAATTTAGTCGACATGGTATATCTCATGGAGAAAATAGGATGTTGACTTGTTATTCGTTATTGAAAGAGAAAGAATATTTGATATACTTTTGCTGATCCAAATTTACTTAATTATCAACTCAAAAAAGTTGAAATAATAGTTCCTATGACATGGCCTCTTTATTTATGTCCTGAAATTGACATTTTGGATGAGGAGGATGTCGATATTTCGCAAATTAATCGTGCAACAAGGGAACGTGCAAAATCACATTATGATTATAAAGTAACATTTACTCAAAATCCTGAAACGTTAAGGATAATACATAGTTTTCTCAAGTCGTTTCTATTAGTGGAAAAGAGGTACTGCTAATTCCTAATTTTATTTATTTATTATATTTGTTTTATTATTTCAACAATAATCCTTATATTATTGATTATTTTAATTATTAATGAAATTAGTGAACGTACGCAGAAAGACAACATGAATATACGTCTTTTGATGCATTTATTCCGAAATTTGGTTGCTATTAAAGACCCAGCAGATTACAATATACCGCGAACTACTTTACAGGTTTATACCTTTAATTACTGTATAGATTGTCTTTTTGTGAGTAATGTGCAATTATTATAATTATAATTTCATATTTTCACACGTTTATAGAACCAATTAATTATTTTGTATGAAAAAGAAGGAATTTTTGAAACTCTTTTCAATCTTGCTTCCAATAATAAAGAACTATCGCAATGGAATACGACAATTCAAGAGATCTTTTATCATGTATTTTATGATATAGAACCACAGTCCTTATTAAAGAGTCCCAAAGAGGTTATTACACTAGATTTAATATGTGTCTGTTTGATATATATTCATAATACTATATCTTTTTTTAATCTTAGGAAGCAGAAACAAGAGCAAAAAAATTATTAGATGAAGAGCAAATTAAAAAATCGAAACATCAAAATAAAGACTCTCGATATAATGGATCTGTCTGGATTAAAGTACCACCGGTATTTATATTTAAATCAATTAAATAAATATAACGAGGATTGATATCCCGATGTTTTTAATAGGGGAAGGATTTAATTATCCACAAACGTGATGGGGTGCAAGGAAATGGGCCAAAAGTTTTGGATACTCTTAAAAAGAAGAAATACGAGAAAACACGGCTTTCGGTATTTTTTTAATATGTAGTAATATAAAATTTATATAACATACATATTGTTAGTTTTAACAAAAAGTTCTTCATCAGGATGAACTCGACAAAAAAAGAAAAAATTCTATTATTCATGATCAAGAAGCATATCAATGCTTTAAATCAATAGCGATCCAATTCTTTACAAAAATATTTAATGGCATGTAATTCATATTTTTAAATTGAGTAGTTGATTCTACGTTCTAATTTTAAAATATTTTATATTAGCACTCGTCATATCTGTGAGAGAAAAACTCGAATCTGTACAAGATGAACATCCTCTGCACTCTGTCCATTTTTTCTATATTGTGTGGTTCTTTCTTGAGTTTCGAAATCTTTTACAATATGATACGTCATCGACAGCAGTATATGAACCAGAGTTTGAAGAACTTATAAATTCATATTATAGTTTTGAACTAGTTTGTTCTATCATGAACTATGAAGGATTCATATTAGTGTTTGAAACGATTGCTTTTTTCAAACATAACAAGGTTTGTAAATCTATCGAGAAACATATTCCATCTTTCTGCAATTCTAATATTACATTTAATTACCAATTTTGACAGAGATGGTCGGATTTGCATTTTGGATTAGATTGCTTGAGACAAATGGTAAAATATTTACATATTTAATGGTATAATTATGAACGCCAGTTACTAACAATATTGAATCTAGTTGCTAACTACACGAGCGATGAAAAGATTTGACGACAAGCAGATACGTTACAAAGCAGAATATATGCTTAACAAAATTTACTACGAGGAATATAATCTGAGGATGATGTTGTCGCTTGCTAAAGATTTTAAAGATCAATCATTTGGGTGAGTAATTGTTTGGCATCCTTTTACTTTGTATTGATATCAAGTGTAATAAAACCTTCATGATCATTAATCTACTAAGGTACCTACAAAGTTTAATTGCCACTATCCACGTTCTTTTTGAAAGGCTTGAAAGTTGTTCAGAAACTACCTTCGAGATTCAAGAAGTTTCAAGAACTAAGCAGAGTATATAAACTTCAATTAGAAACACCGCTTAATATCTGATATAATTAGAGATGTAAATAAATTTTTTTGGATAAAACTTTGTAATTAGGAACGAGTTTTGAAATGGAGATAGATGATGCAAATGATTATTATGAAGACGTTATAGAATATGTTAAAGTAAATAGGGAAGATTCTAAAGCACATAAACTTGTTTTTGAAGAATATCAGATGGTAATGCTTTTTTTTAATGTGGGAAGTATAATGACCGTATTTAGTGCTTATATTTAGTATTTTTCCTTTTTTTTTAATTGACCAATATAACAGGGTCTTGCTAACGAATCCATAATATCGACATATTGTTCTTTGTTAGAGTATTACGAGAGAATAGACTCTGAATGCTTCTATCACATAACAACAGCTTTTCATCGAATCATTATTCGTTGTTCAGCTGACACTATCTTCTTTAAGGTAAGTACTTTATACCTATTTTTCCTTAATATTCATTATAACATTAGCTCATCTCTTGTTATAGCTTTCCATTTTAGAACTTCTGAACCGTATATCAATTTATTTCGAAGGATTACAAAAATTGTCAACATCGCAAAACGAATTCAGAGATTTTATTAGGCTTATATCAGAAAGTTTTTTTAATTACGCTGAAAAGAATGATTTGATATATTGCGAGGTTTGATCACCATTATTTATAAATTAATTTTAGCAATTTATTCGTATTTAATTAATTGCTCAATTACAGGTTTTCTGTCCCAAAACATCGCATAATTGGAAATGCTTGAAATATGGTTATGATTTCTTTGATGACATTATATCAGTAAGCCGAAAGGTTTGTTATCATTTGTTTATTATTATATTAGTGGATTTATAGCATAACGATAGTTATTTATTAAATAAATGTTTTACTAAATGTCAAATAATAGCCACGGTAAATAAGTGGACCATTATCTTAAATTTCATTATGATCTTTCGTTAACTTGTAAACTAAATTTTATAGATCAAAGAAAAAAAGTGTTAGGGTTGAATCCACTTCTAATAGTGATGCCGACCAGGATATATCAGTAAGCCGAAAGGTTTATTATTTTATTAGTGGATTTATAGCATAACGATAGTTATTTATTAAATAAATATTTTACTAAATGTCAAATAATAGCCACGGTAAATAAGTAGACCATTATCTTAAATTTCATTATGATCTTTCGCTAACTTGTAAACTAAATTTTATAGATCAAAGAAAAAAAGTGTTAAGGTTGAATCCACTTCTAATAGTGATGCCGACCAGGATATATCAGTAAGCCGAAAGGTTTATTATTTTATTAGTGGAT